CTTGATTTCTTTGCAAGTATTATTTTAAGCTGCTTGTTCATTTTGTGAGAGGTAGCTTAATGAAATCACTAAGTATACAAATATATGTACCTACAGACACATATAAAAAGGAATATGCTGTGTTCTGACCACCTCATAGGTAGCACACTGTACAAGGCAAATGAACATCTGACATTGGAACTGCGTGGAGGTGTCAGTGATGCTTTGTGTATTAAATAATAGTGGAGGTATGTTTTCAATTTTATTTCTATATTGCAAATATAAATACAAATTATAATATTTTTCCAATATTTCCATCGATCGCCTTTTCATCGAATTTTGCAAATCACGGGTTGTCAGGGTAGGACCAGTATCAACTTCTCAGTTGATAGTTTGGGCTGAAGTCTAAGTTCCTCAATGGCACAGATAGTCTTAAACAGCTCTGTGTCCCCTTGGTTACAGATGGTAGTGTTTACATTGTTTCACATTTAGTGTTTTAAATTTTTTAAACTCTTCAAATTTCAATAGCATCCTTGGCCTTTTCAGGAATCCAGTGAAGTGGGTATCATTCCCTTTATCAGGTAAAGAACTTGAGGCTCCCTAGTTGTGACTTTGCTCATGGTTACACAAATGGGTGGCAGAACAAGGGCCTAAAGGGCGAAGTCCTTTTTGCTAAACTGCATTTGTCTCATAGCCAGTGAATTACATAAAGTATTCAAATATTTGCTAAGTATCTTAATCAGGGAAACAGTGGAACAAGAGGTAAGTGATTTATTTCCCCTCTATGTGTCAAAAAGCAGTTGACAGAGTTACGATAAATAACAAGTTCTAAAATAGATGAACCTGTTTTTTTTTTAATTGGTCAGTATTACTAGGTAGAGCTAATTGAATAGTTGATAAAAAAGAATGAGAACTGGAAAAAGGGGATTTTCGTGAATACTTGGCAACCCAATGGTAATTTTGGAGAAGCAAATGGATAGTTATTGAATCCTAATAGTTTCCTAAACATAAGTGCAAGGGTTTGGATGTTCTTATTTTATGAAATTATCTATTTGCGTAATAGAAATTGGCATTAATGAATAGAAACTTATATTACCTCAATCTGTGCAAAGTGGTATTAGAGACTAATGTTTCCATAAAAGAAAACCCTTAGGGGAAAAAAATGTTAGCTACATTTCAAACTGGATAATGTAGCCAAGACTGCCATTTCTTAATTGGTAATAATGTCAAAAGTCACATAACTATTGCACAATAGCAGGAATATTGACCGATACCCTGGGAACATTTGAACCAAGAAGATAAGGGCCCCGTGTGCGCTCCTCTCGAGTGAAGGTGCTGCGCTCTGGCTTCTGGAGGGGCAGTGCCCCCTTTTCTCTGGAGTTGAAGCTGTCTCACGCGGTGGTGCTGCAGCCCTGTCCTGCCTTCTCTAAGGTAGCTTTAGGTTCTAAAATTATTTTAGATTGGGAAAACTACGGAATAATATAAACAATTTTTATTTTTTTATTATTTTATTTTATTTTTTTTTAGTTCCAGTGCCTAGTGCAGTGTTTATTACATAGCACATGCTCAATAAAAATATAAAATATGTATTTTCAAATGTTCAACATCATTTCTACCTCTCAACAATGAAAGATTCAGCTTACTATGACGTCCTTCTCTTCACAAATCTTGACAGATTAGATGAGGTTGGTTTTGGGGCAATTTCATTGGTCCTGAAAAAACTACATCATTTTCTCTCCTGGACTAAACTTTGCGATGGCTTAAACAATTTTTAAATGGAAAATAATTGCATCAATTTACTGTATCAGAAATGGTAGGAAAATGGGTAGCTTCCTCTGTACATTTGTTTGAGTTGAAACGAGTTGCAGTTTTTTTTAAGGATTATTTAAGATTACTTAGATATGTAAGGACTCTAAGTATGTAAAGAGTGTGTCTGAAGTAAGAGTTATTTACCTGGCTTTATGAATATTAAATAGGAAATCTACAGATGTAAGGACTACATTAGGAAGCTTCAAGAGATATTTTGGAACTTCTAGATCAAGCTAAATTTACTGATAGGGAAACAGGTTTGCACAGGGAAATGGGCATTTCTGAAGGAACACAAAGTCAGAATTTGGTCTCTGATATCATGGAAGCACCACACTTCTATTAATTTTAAACTTTGTACTTCTGCATTTCTCTGTTGTTGTTGAAATAGGACTTGGCATTTGTCGGTGTAACTAACTGCTTCCTAGTGCCAGTTCCCTACATGCCAAATAAACAAAAGACCTTTTCTCATGGTGCTTAGTGTGTGTGTGTGTAAACAATAACCTTGTAGGCTGCTGTGAAAATTAAATAAGTTAGTATGTATAAAATAGGACCTTTGAGGTGAAGACCATTATTGTCACCCTGATTTTATAAATGAGGAAACCTAAAGTGCAGGGAGAATAAGTAACTTGCTCAGGATCACACAGCCAGTAAGTGGCAGAGCTGGATTCAGTCTGGATCATCTTGCCTGAGACCATGTCCTTTATTCTGTGTTACATTAAAAACCCTGGACAAAAAGGGTGAAAAGACTGACCAGCCAAGTAAACGGGTACCTGAACTGTAAGGAACGGCCATTAGTGCTTCCAGAGTATTTAGGTGGCCCTTGAAGGACCTTGAGCAGCAATTTGGACCTCAGGGTTTTTTTAAAGGAAAGAATGGATGAAGCAGTGAGCCGTGTAACCTGTCGACCCATATTGAATTTATCCCTCTCCATTTAACTTGGCAAAGCCCCTTTTTTTAATGGGAAAGATAATGCCTATCATCCTGAGAAGTCATTGTGAGGCTCAAATAATACGGATGGAGGAATCCTTTGCAAATTGAGTTTTAAGCCTTTGCTGCATAGATTCTAGCTATCTCCCCTCACTGTTCTTGACAATTGAATTCTATGTTTACTTCTCTAGTTTGTTGTGAGAAGACAAAGTATATGAAGAAGTGGTGCCCGGTACTAGGAAGAATGCTTGGTTCTAGGAGTCCTTGATGATAAACTCTAGTTAGACACCTTCTTTAGGTCCCCTTTTTTGGTTCCCTGAGACTGTCATCTCTATGTTCTCTAGAATGCCTAAGATTTATGAGTAGTCTATGAGATGTTTATAAAGCATGAATGATAGGTAAATGTTAAGGTTCAATCGTTTTGTGACACTGGTGATCAGGAGTCCTTGAACAGATCTAAATGATCAGAGGACTATAGCAAAATTAGTCACCCTCTAGTGATTCCCCACCCCCTGCCCCCTCTTAAGATAACAAGCCAGCTGTCCTCTTACAGGAGAAGTTTATTTGGTCTTAGCCACCATGCTTGTAACTATGACTCAGTTGTGCCAAGCAGATGGCCAAACCACACGAGGAGAAACATGGGGCCTCTTTCTTCTACTTTGAATGCCCCTAACACTTTTGGTTATGTAGGTGAAGTCATTTCACCTGTGATCTAAAGTTTTACTTAGATGGGGAAGTTTTCTGGGCTTCTCCAAGCATGGTTAGTTTGCTGAACCACATGATGTTGTAATGAATTATTTACATATTTGTTTGCTTCATTAAATTCGAAACTTCTTAAGGACTGGGGCCTCATGAACACATATATACATGCATAACTAGCACTTTGCACAATGCCTGGGAAACATTATGTGATAATATTTGATAAATAAATGAAAGAGCCTAGCAAAATACAAAATAAGTTATATAAGTAATGATTGCTTTCAGGAAGTGTAATCATAATATCAGATGGATCCAAGTTAGCAGCCTCTGGTAACATCTGGACCATCCCTCATGGATGTCCTCTTCTAGGACTTTGTAGGCTGTGAATCTTATTCTTAGGAAATAAGAATATTTTTAAAGTGATTAATTTTAAAAAATATATATAACAATCTCCATTTGATAGTCAAGAAAAGACATCCCAGAGACTCATTTCACCTTTCATTTCCATTTTTAAGAACCATATTTCATAAAAAATGTGTATATTTGGTTTCAACTTAAGTACTATCTTGTATTTTTTTCCCCTCTTGATATATCATAGCTGTTCTTTTTTTATTGTTCTGTAGAGAGGTCAGCAAACTTTTTCTTACCAGTAGAAGTTTTAGGCTTTGTGGGCCTCATGGTTTCTGTGGCAGCTACTCATTTCTGCTGCTGCAGCACAGAAGCAGCCACAGGCAGTATAAACAGTGGCCTGGCTGTGTGCCAGTAAAACTATATTTATGAAAGCAGGTGGCTTTCCCCAGCCTTCGTTTGCTTAACTCTCTTCTAAAAAACTCACATTTATCATTAACATGTTATGTGCTATGCCTTTGAAGGATTAATTTACTTAATTATTTTTATACCTGAAAATATGGGCTATTCTTTTGTTCTTGTTTTTGTTCTGACCTTTTCTGTTACATTACAGTGGGTGTCTTCTGTGTTTAGTAGGGTTTTTTCCCATTTATTTGGATTGACAGAAGAAAGGATTTTCAGTCCTATGGAAATATTTGTCATGCATTCTTGTGTTTTGTTGGAATGGATCTTCTCTGAGTGGAAACATAAAGCCTGCCTGACTGAGCAGGATTTAGTTTCTGTCCCTTAACAACTCTGTTACCTTAGGCAGAGGCTACATATCCCCTCTGAGCTGAACCTTTATTTTCTTGCTGGCAGAAAGGGGTTTCGGTATCTGCTTCCTCATAGGTTTATTGTAAGGATTAAATGAGGTAATTTGTAAAATGCCTGGAATGTGGCATTTACTATTAAAATGTTAGTTTCTTTCCCTGCCTTTCCTACCCAGAAGTGTTTTGTTATGTAAATTTTATTTGGTGACTAACAATGCTTATCATATAGACATTTGTTTATCTTCCTTGTCCAGATTACTTTCTCAGAATGTAGGCTCTCAGGGTGAAGTTTTTGTTGCCTTTGGCAGAGGCTGATCCCGAAGGTGAAATGAAAAAGGGGGTGTCTTTACTGTGACCGGGAGGCAGGGAAGTGGACCTGAGAGTCGACCACAGATTCACTTGGCCTTTCCTTCCCTTATTTAATTGCAGTATAAAACAGAGGGCAGCAAGGTGACCAGTTACTGCCATGAGACGATGACGGGGTGGGTGCACGACGTGCTGGGCCGGAACTGGGCTTGTTTCACCGGAAGGAAGGTGGGCGCTACCTCTGAGAATAGGATCCTGAACACAGCACACTTCAGGAGTCTCCAGGACAAGTGAGTTGTCACCAATGGAAGATATATTTAGTTTTGTTTTATCATATATAGAATAATGTGTGTATGTTAATTCTTGAAAACTTGCATTTTAATTATATAAAATTTTTTTAATTTATTTTCTTTATTTTTTCAAATACATTTGTCTCTTCCATTATATAAAATTTATTTGGCTTGAAAACAAAACTTGACTGGGAAGATATATTGACTGATGTAACAGAGAGAAGAAAGCTCCCCCCCACCCCAAAGTACTGCAGTTGACTCAAAAATCATTTTATTATTGCCATGTAAAAACATGTTGCATAATATTTATAGATACATAGGTTTATGTTGCAACAAGTGTAGGCATCATAAACTTTAAACAAAGCGATTTTAATTGAAATTAAAATTCTTAGTGTTTATGTAGTGTACATCATTTGCCAGGGCTGCCACTACAAAGTACTACAGGCTTAATGGCTTAAACAACAGAAATTTAGTTTCTCACAGTTCTGGAAGCCAGAAGTCCAAGATCAAGATGTTGGCAAGTTTGCTTTCCTCTGAGGCCTCTCTCCTTGGCTTGCAAATGACCACCTTCTCTCTGTGTCCTCATATGCTTATTCCCCTGTCTGTGTCCTCATTGCCACTTCTTGTAAGAACACCATTCATACTGGATTAGAGCCTATTCACACGACCTCTTTTTACCTTAATTTCTTCTTTAAAGGCCCTATCTCTAAATACACTCACATGCTGAGGTATTGGAGGTTAGAACTTCAGCATGTGAATTTTGAGAAGATACAATTCAGGCTATTACATTCAGTTGATGTGTTTGTTACGTTAGGTGCACTTTAGGTAACTGTGAACCATACAAATAAGAGATTTCAGACTTTTATTAGTTTAAGAAGGAAAAGGAAAATAAATATGATTGGTAGCAACTTTTTCTGCTTTATTTAGTTGTGATCCACGGAAAGTATACATGAACAAATCCCTGAAAGCAGGTCACACTAGCTGGAAATGACTGCAGCAGAGACGTGGGACACATGAGTTTAAAGAGGACAAAATGTACTTGTCGGGGAAAGTGCTGACCAAGATCTAGAATAATTCATGCCCCTTGTTTTGAATCTAGTTTGTAAATTGCTTGGCTTTGCTTGACCATTGAGCAACCCATTTCCTAATAAGCTGTTCACTTTTTTAAAAAAGATTTTATTTATTTATTTTTAGAAAGAAGGGGAGGGATAGAGAAAGAGAGGGAGAGAAACATCCATGTGTGGTCGCCTCTCACATACCCTCTGTTGAGGACCTGGCCCACAACCTGGTCATGTGCCCTGACTGGGAATTGAACCTGAGACCTTTTGGTTTGCAGGCCAGCACTCAGTCCACTGAGCTGCACTAGCCAGGGCTAAGCTATTCACTTTTTACCCTACCATTTAGAATATGCTTTCTACTATTGTACTTTTTTGATATTGCAAACATTGCTTCATTTAGTGTAGAAGTTAAGCTGCTAATTGGAGTGCTCAAAATATATGTTGCCTCACCTGTAAAATGAGCATTTGGGATGAAGTTAAGCTCAAGATCTCTTTCAGCTCTTAATGATCTGTTAACCCATTTTAAGATACGTTATTTTTAATCTCACTGGATTTTTAAAAATATATACGTATATACTTATTTTTTAATCCTCACCTGAGGACATGTTTATTGATTTTAGAAACAGGGGAAGGGAGGGAGAGAAACATAGGTGTGAGAGAGAAACATCAGTCGGTTCCCTCTGATAAACACCCTGACTAGGGATCAAACCCGCAATTTAGAACCTTTTGGTTTATGGGATGATGCTTCGACCAAATAAGCCACACTGGCCAGGGGGAATATATATATATACTTCATCCATGAACTTTGTAATATGCCAATCACAAGCTAGTTTTCAACAGTTACATTCCCCGGATCATGGCTGCATAAGAGTGTTATTAACTGGAAAACAGAGAGACCAGAGACATGGCCAGAGGTAACATCATGCAGTGTATGCCACTGCAGTACAGTTGTCAAGTTCAGGGGTGGTTTGGTAAAGCTGGTTCGCTTCTGTTCTCTTTGTCAGGGATTCTCGTGTTTGCGAAAATTGGACTAACAGGTGGTGGGGCTCCATTTCCTGGTTTGAATTCTTACTGGCTTTGTCCAGAATCTCACTGGCAACTGGTTATTGTAACACCAGCCCAAACTTCTCTGCCCGCATGTGGGGATCACTGCCAACGGTAAAGGTAATACTGCAGGTTGCCATCCCCTGTGCCAAACTGGAGCTTCTTCAGGAAAGTTTTGTTTTCCGTGAGATCCAGTGCATTGAACAAACCAAACCCCTTCATTTCGGCAAGAACAAGGGTGTCGCTCATGAAGTCTGCAAGACCGACCTGGACGTGAGCACTGTAGAAAGAGTCAGAAGCCTTTAGACTCTTCAGGATGTCTCAGCTTTTAGACTCCTCAGCTTTTAGAGTCCTTGGATGGCTCAGGATGGTGGAGGGAGGTGTGTGAAAATAGAGGAAGGCCCGTCACATCACCATTTGCATTCTCTACCACAAAAGTGTCAATGATATTATCCTGAGGATAGAACCAGTGCTCTGCCTTCTTCTGGCTCATGACTGGCATGACGTGCAAAGTCTTCAGGTACCTGGTGAGGAGCCGGTGCACTGCTGGAATGCCCTTGTTTTCCAATGGTCACTGTCCAGCTGTCTTGGAAGACTAGGACAGTCAGTAGAGCTTCATGGTAGCCGCATGGTCATATTTCTACTCAGATGAAAAACTTCAGTCAGCTTCTGTGGGTTTAGGGACCAATGCTAATACCTACAAGTGTCAACAGGCTTTGGTAATACCACCACGGCACTGTAAACAGCTTGGAAAATGCCCTCCAGCTGAACCCACCCAGTTATCTAGTGGATTAGGACTGGAGCCAATTTCCTGGAGCGCAGTGTCTTGTGCACACACAGAAAATGGATCTCTACCACCTCTGTGTGTCATAGATGCAGTTTTTTGTTAGGATGGTGCTAATGAACCAACCAGTTTCCTACCTGAGACCACTCAAACCCCACAGTGCCATCGGGGGAGCCAGCCAGGCACCAGAGAACCCATAAAAGAAATTTCAAAGAGTAATCAAATCGGAACACTTTGTCATCATCTTCCACACAATTCTCAATCAGGAGGGTGTATAATTCTTATCGCATACCTTGGTCCCGCAGGTCCAAGCTGCACCAGCCGAAGCCCTGCGGTAGGCGTGGGGCTCCTGACAGATGTTGTCTTTGTCAGGCTCCACGGACCATGGGCGTTTTCTGCTTCTCCCAGTGTGGGGACAGGCTGTGTGTCCCAGAACTGGTTCCTTTACTTGCTAGCTCCCTCCACTGTTTTGAAAGTTCCTGACCCACTGAAAACAGTTCAATGTCCTGTATTTCCTGGATCCTCCCAGCTGGTAAAGAGTCCGTCCTCACAGATTGTTCCTAGGCTGGATCTGTCTCGCTGCCTTTCTCTTCTCTTCTTCTTCTTCTTTTTTTTTTTTTTGTTTCTTTTTCTTTTTTTGACTCCATTGTCTTTGGCTGGGCTCAGACCACCCTGGTTGGCAAGTTGTCCTCCTTGTTTTTGCAGTTGCTGCCGTGTTCACTGCCAGCCCTGTCCAGTCCCTCCCATCCTCTGTGGCTAAGAAAGTGCCATGACTTCACGTCCAGCTCACTCTCATTCTCCAGGAGCTGGCCTCTGTGCCTCCTTAATCTCATTGGACCTCAGACACTAAAAATAAGTGTTTAAGACCCCCCTTTGTCATTACTGTAATGCACATAGCATCGGATGTTTTGCTGGACGTTTTGATACAACGAGGGAAGCAGGCAGTTACTGATCCATGAAATAGTGAGTCTTATCAGTGGAAAATATTTCAAGATACACATTTCCAGTTTAAAAGTTACTCCTGTCTAAAGAAAGTAGATGTAATTTGTTTTTGTTGTAAAGTGTTGTGAGAAATATGATACAAGCAGTTTTATAGTCTGTTTAATAAAGGTACTTCTTTGGTTTCACTCTGCAACAAAAGGGGAAGAACTTTGGTAAAACAATAAATCATTATCAATGTTGTTGCACATTTTTCTTATAAATTTCAGTGCCGCCACATTTTTTGACTATATCAAAATGTTTTCTCTTTGAACCACTAAATTAAGAGAGGGAAAATTTCACAGTATGCTTAAGATGTTACTCAGGTTAGATATATCTTGCTTTGCATAATGGAAAGTTTATGGAAGGCTTGGGTAGTAACACTTAAACCACTGAATCTTATTTAATAATAATAATAATATGGTAAATTCTATAATTCTTAGTACCTGGCACATAAGTATAATAATACATGTTTGAAATAAATGAATAATTAACTCCCCCCAATTCTCCCCCCCACCCCACCCCCCCTCCCCGCCCCACTTTGTAAGCATGCTTTTAGCATGCTATATTTATTTACATCTAAATCCAAGCATTTAGCATCAGGTAAACCAGTGCTTTTCAAATTTTAATGTTATTGTAAGTCACCAGTTGATGGAGGAGGATCTTAGTATTACAATGCATATTCAGATGGTCTGGGTGGGCAACTTAAGAGTCTGCATTTCTAACAAATTTTCAGGTTCAAGAACCAAATTTTAGTAATAAGACTATAAATCAAATGTTCATATGGAATATTCTTTTTGAATGAGGTGATGACATGGTTTGACATGCTCTATGTACATTTTAGAGTTTGTTCTGTCCTCTTCTCTTTTCTATTACAAAGTTATAAAGGTGCATTGTAGAGATTGTGGGAGGGAGGGAAAGATGGTGATCCTGTGTCACCGCTCAGGGCTGACCATGGTTGGCATTTTAAAAATGTACTCATATCATAAATATATATTATACTTTCACATAATTAGTTAATTTTATATAAACTTCTTTGATGTCATAATGTTAGTACCCTTTCATATCACTAAATAGTCTTCTGGACACTTTTACTGAATAAACTATATTGTAAATTAAGTACCATTATTTATTCAATCAGTGCCTTATCTTAGGGCATTTGTTTAGGTCCTTTGTAATCTATCATGAATGTAAAAATATTTCATTGAACAATTTTATACATCTTACTTAAGCTGATATATATATATATATATATCTGTGTATATATGTATATATCCATATGCATGTGTGTTTGTGTGTGTATATACTTATACAACCTTAGGTAAAAGTGGGTGGTACCTTTTGGACTCACTGGTTATGTCTTTGTATATGAACCAAACCCAGATTTGCTTTGATGCCAGAAAAGCAGCTTTGTTTGAACAAAGGATATCAACACAGACTGTACTATAAACAACATTTTGTTTAAAATATGAGGAGCAATGAGGAGGATGTATTTCAAAAGCCTGATATCTAGAAAACCGAATTAAAGGAATGTTTCAGCTCAAAATTGCTTACCAGTTATTGTCGGGATGTCCGATGCTGTCACCCAAGGTTCCCTGGGATTCCTTAGGTGGCTTGATAGGGTCACCTGCTGCATGCCTCCCTGTAAGATGACTTCAGTACAGTGGAGTCTCATTAGGGTAAAGGATAGTTCAGGGATCCTTAATATTTTGTTTTTTTGTTTTCTGAAATTGGGTTTTATTTTATCTTATAATTTCCATTTATCTAAATTTTGTGTTCTGTATATGTGATGTTGCTTGTCCTATTGACTGTTTGGAAATTCAGCATTTTATGCCTCTGACTGTGGCACATTTAACATGTGGATTTTTTAATACATTTTTATTTTAGAATAAAGACTATTTTGAAGATTTGAATAAACCACTGATGTTACATTATCAAAGAAAAAAAGTGCCTTCCTGAAAAATTATGATTTGGCCCACATTCCACTTTGGCCCAGAGTATAAGAGTGCCTATTTCAGTGGAGTCTATTTATATCAATAAAGAGTGTACCTAAAGCTGTCTTACTTTTGTTGGCAGGCATTCCAATAGGCTCTACAAATATAATCACGACTTTGTGAAAACGATCAACGCTGTTCAGAAGTCTTGGACTGCAACCACATACATGGAATATGAGACTCTTACCCTGAGAGAGATGATTAGGAGAGGCGGCGGCCACAGCCAGAGACTCCCCAGGTAATGAAGCACATCTCTTTGCCACTGATAGAGACATTTGTGTTGAATGCCATCCTCCCTTCCAATCAGCATCTCTCCCTGGATAGCCTGCCATTTTACTGGTCTTCTTAACATAAATTTTTTCTGTTATCTTTTTTCCTCACAATCTTCCTCTCCTATTCAGACATACGCTAATGCTCTCCAAGTCCTATTTATGGGTTTTGCTTTCTCAGCATCTGACGCTTCCATGACTCCCTTTCCATTTTCTGAATGCTGGCTTAGTTAGGGCTTTGTCATCTCTTCCCTGCATTATGGATTAGCTTCCTGCTTCCTCTCTCTTTGGGCTCCTTCCTTCTCTGTCCCCATTCTTAACCATTCTAAAAAATATTGTCAGTTTCACCTTTCTATATTCAGCTATTTTTGTGTTACTACCTATTGTATAATAAGTAACTTCGTAACCAAAACCACCTATATTTGACTATAACTGTATTTATTACTGTGACCTGCTTTCAAACATATGACATAAAATTACTAGAAATTTTCCTTTCACATAACCTCCATCCATGCCATTTCCTTTGCCTCAGACACCCCCCAATTTGCCTCTAGTAACTGTCAAATAGCAGTAAAAATCTCAAAAATCCTCTCTCTGTTTTAAGGTCCAAAAAAAAAAATGTTTCTTATTTATCGATATACCTCTACTACCCTCAGCCAGAAGTAACATTTCCTATCTTTAGCTTATATACCCCATGATGTATTCTTACTTTAGGAAATTAGGTCATAATACTTTTAATTTATATAGTCAGGAATTTGGTAGATTTTTAAAAATTCTTTCAAAACCATAGCTAGATTTAGCAGAGTGGATAAGAGCTTCACATTTGTAAAGTAGCCAAGAATATGTCTCTGATGCCATACTCTGCTTCAGGAGAGGGAAATTTCTCTAACTGAAACGAATAGGGAGCTAATGGGAGTCAATAAATTGTATAGGCAGGTATTTTCCCTTAGTACGTCACATTTTCCAAATTTCTGAGAATACACAGATGATTTTCTTAATATAAATGGGATCTATGGTTCAGATTGTATTGTTTGAACAGGCCACTGATTAATTAATTGGTAACTGAAATGCATTCTAACTTTTTATGTGCAGACTAATAATCCTAATGCTCTGGTATTTTTCAGCTACGAGGTTGTTTGGAGATTTTTCCTATTAAATTGATAGCACTTTCTCACGGTTCTACCCCTTTTTCAAAAAGAATATACAATTCTCAATATTGTATACAATATTGTATTGCACACATTTCTCAAGGTGTGTTCTACAGAATTTCTAGTCCGTGAGATGCTCTTACGTTCAGAATTGGGGAATTCTGCCTGCCGCATCCCTTCTTAGATTCATAAAGTGAAGGGGGAGAAGGGCTCCTGCCTGAAAGATTTGAGCAGACACAACTGCTTTGCCACATATCAGGTACCAAGTATCTGAGGAACTCTTTTAAACTATTTTTTTAAATATTTTATTTATTTATTTTTAGAGAGAGGGTAAGGGAGGGAGAAAGAAAGGGAGAAACATCCATGTGAGGAACATCGACCAGTTGCTTCCTGCACGCACCCCAACCAAGGACCAAACTCGAAATCCAGGCACGGGCCCTGACTGGGAACTGGCAACCCTCCGTTTTGCAGGATGAGGCCCAACCAACTGAGCCACACCAGCCAGGGCTATCCAAGGAACTCTTGTGCTTGACTCTTCTCTCCCTCCACCCAGCCACCTTTGTGCTGCGAAAGGACTAGCTTTATGATGGGCCGCTTTTGAGGCTAAGGTTCCATAGAAGGTTTGAGATATGGAGACGGAATTGAGTGAAGTTGGAAATAGTGAAGCAGATATTGCAGTTTAGCAGTCTTATTTTCCGTAGCATCTTGTATATAATAAAAATCCTCAGAAAGTCTTAAATAGGTATAAGGAGTTTGTGCAACTGCTGAAATTATAGTAAAAATTTATTGTTCTTGTGCATCCCCCTGAGTCTAGAGCTTTCACCAGATTCTTAAAGAATATGGACCCAATTGGGATCCAATCGATTTAAGAGCCAGTAATGTACAGTATAACTATAATCTTTGTAATTCCCACTTCACCATCTCCCAAATTCCTTTTCCACTCTCTTCATTTTTATACCATTCAGCTTCAGTTGTCGCATTGTTTTTGCGTTGCTGTGTGTGCACTGGTGGGCAAACATTCTGCCCAATGGAATGGTGTAAAGGAGGACGTTAACATTTGAGTGATTTCTGTGTGTCCCAGAGTCGCTTAAATTTATCAGCGTCATATTTACTCCTCTTGATGACATATTAGCTTAATAATTTATCAAGAACTTATCAGAGACAGGCCTGTTCTGAGCACTATTTTCATGAAAATCCTTTGAGATAGGTATGCTTATACTCATTTTAATGAGAGTCCATCATAGTTTTGTGACCTTAAGGTCTTTGACTGATGTCGCACAGCTAGTAAGTGGTGGAGCCATTTGAAGGAGGGTGGTATGGCTCTGAGGTACCTGGCCTGAAATTCCTTTTTTGTCTTCCATATTTCTTAGTGTATTATTAGGTATATACAGGACAATTATTTAATATTGATTGATTGATTGAATCTCTTGGCCTCTCAATATAAAATCATAGGAACTCTTTATTATTTCCTTCCAAAATTTGCTTGTACCCTAGTTTTTATTCATAAAACTCCAAAGAAATATCCAAGATTTTAATTTTGCCTTATTTTTTTTCCTGCCCTACATGTAAAATTTTTATGATGCTTAGTTTTTTATGTACCTTGCTTATTCCATAGACATTATTCAACTTAAATGTTTTCTAACATTACTATAATTTCTTTATATTTTTAACGGTGATTTCTTTATGTTTGTCTCTTTAAAAAAAAAAAATTACTTACTTTTAGAGAGAAGGGAAGAGGGGGAGAGAAACATCAATGTGCAAGAGATACATCATTCAGTTGCCTCTCACATGCCCCTGATCCAGGGACCTGGTCCACAACCCAGGCCTGCACCCGGACTGGGAACCCAACCGGCAACCGTCTGCTTCGCAGCCCGGCACTCAGTCCACTGAGCCACACTGGCCAGGGCTAGTTTCAATCTCTTAAAGCTGTCTTTCATATAGTTGAAGACCACCTCATGTTCATCTTCTAGCAATGTCCCTGGATTAGTTAATATTTTTGTGAAAAATTAATTGACATCGCTATATGAAATATCCTGCCTATTCTTTATAGTTCTCAAGTTTATGATTGCTAATCATAAGTGATTTTTTCCCTTTGTTTCATCTCACTTTTGTTTTGTCCTAGCATTAACATATATCATCTCTAAGAGAAGTGTGTGTGAGAAAATGCTTGGGATTAGTTGTGGAGGACATGAAAAAGCCCAGAAATAATCTTTGCCAGTGACTAAATTGGAACCTGGTAAAAACCAACTTGGTAACCACTGGGAAGTTAGAACACTGTGGTATGAGTTGAGTAAGAAATTCAAGTCGTTTACAATAACAGAAAAACAAATGTTACCACAATATAACAGTAGCACCCTAGCAAGAGTTGATGGAGCAGAGAGAGAAGTGAATTTTTGTTGGGGGTTGGGGGTTTGAGGCTGCTGCTGTATGAGCAGTCATTAAAATTAGAAGCCAGGGAAAAACTCTGAGAGGATTTCTTTTAAGCAGCGGACAGCAGGCATTTCAGATGAAGGAGCAGCAGTACAAAGACACGGAACATTGCAGTCGGCAGACTTGGGCAAACTGTAAGAAGTCTAGTGTGGCTAGAGCTTGAATGCTTTATTTGTGTGTGTATTTCAAATCTCTAATACAGAGAAGCTTGTAGAATAATTTTCTCATTTCCAAAACATGTCTAGCCATCATTTGATCATCCCAAGCAACTCTCCTTTTGTGTCTTATTTTCCAAGCATATCATATAAGGTGTAGTTTTGTCCTCTGTTTATGGAGCCAGTCTGGCTACTTCATACTCAGACCTTTTGTTTCTGTGTCTCCTTCACTTCTTTTACCACTTTACTGTACTGCCACCTGTCTCCCGACATCAGTAATTCCTCTATTTCTCTTTATCCTTTGTGGGCCACCTTTAACTTCCCGCGTCTGCTTACTTGGTCAAAATCTGTAAAAAGTCAGAGAATGCAGCTGTGGAAACACACTAAAAATAGTATTGCAGGGATATACAAAGCCAGTGACATTTCACAGGGGAAAATTACTAAATCATGAAAAAGAAATGGATAATGGAAGCCATTTATACAATTTAGTAGTATAATAGCTACATTATATAGATTGTTACATTATTGTGTAATAGACACATTGAAACATTAATGGCACAAATGCCCTTCGGGGCTGAATCTAGATCTTAGTCAGCCAGGAGGTTGAAATCATGGAAGCAGAGGTTAGAAAATCATTGTTAATGGAAAGACTGTGTATTGATGTCAAATGTATATTTCCATTTTAGGCCCAATCCCGCACCAGTAACTGCTGAAATACATGAAAAGATTTTACATTTGCCAGCTTCTTGGGACTGGAGAAATGTTCATGGTACCAATTTTGTTAGCCCTGTTCGAAACCAAGGTAAAAGAAACAGTTTAATTTTTCATTGCTTTATTGTGAAACATTTATTGAAAATTCACTATTCGCCAAGTTCTGGAGTAGATTCTGGGGATACAGAAATGAAATGGGCATGATTCACTTTCAAAAGAAATGGAAATGATGAATACTCACTTCCTCCTTCTCTGTCCATGACACCCTTTCATATTAGATAATTTCTCCAACTGAGCACAGAATTTCTTAATTATCCTTCTCAGTATAATTCTCAGTATAGGTTCCATGTAGCTAATGAAATTAATCATAGTAAGATGTAAGCCAAACTCATTTGCCTTCCTAGTAGGAGAGATTCTTGTAGAAACAAAGGATTGCGTGCAACTAAAATTGGTTTTCCTTCTGCAAGTGGTTTGTTGGAATCCTACTTTGGTACCTGTCTTCCCATTCCTTGCCCTGACCCCATTATTTAGTCTGTAATCGTTATAGATGCCCAGAAAATGGATTTGTAAACTTTTTTTCTGGTAGATTTTTTTGAACTGTGACCTTTCCATTTACTTTATGTCAGAATATTATATATTATGGTAAATAGTAACCATGCTTCCAAAATGGTGGCCTGGTATCAGAGCCCAGGTTTACCAAAAGGATCACTATAAATGCATTTTACCAGTTATTTCCAGAAACTGGATATAGTATGAGTAGATTTAACAACTCCTCCTTTAATAGCACTTGACTGCAAATGATCTTATCCTAAATTTTAGCCAACAATGACTTGGAGAATCATTTATATAATACTCAAGATTATTACTTCTAAGCTCATTTTGAAGATAATTACAGTACATATGACTGATTTGTTACTATAAAATAGGTAAAGTATTTGCTGTCTGGAAACATTCTGATTCGAGTCCTCTGAGAGGATTATAAGTGAGTAACACCAAAAGATAAATTGTTTTTCCCCTCACCCAAATTTTCATTGACCATCAGCTTCTTCTACTTCTCAGCATTCACCCTGACCCTTCAATTGTCTCCTCATTGACATCTTACAAAGTGTTCTAATGTACAGAGCTTTGAGTAGGTCTTATAGCAGCCAGTTAGCAAGGTTCCTGTCCTTCAGGTGACACCAGGTGTTTCATCTCTTTGCCTTTCCGTTCATACCAGTTATTCTAGGACCTGTTGACTGAAATCCTTCCCTACTTTCTCTTTTTCTGGGGAGGGCTTCTTTGGAAAGTAGGGATTGGAAATTAAAGAAATTTGAAGGTAATTGAGAAATGAATGCAATCTGAAATTAAAGAATTGATGTTAAAGAGAGGATTAAAACTTTATCATCAGATTTCCTATACTTATTTGAAAAGATTAAGTAAATACTGCATGTCAGTGTTGATTGTTGATTATGAGGGCTTGACACATGGTTGCTTCTGTTGTGTTTCAGTTTATAAAGAAGCTAATGTGTTAGGGAATTTTTTTAATGGCTGAGGATATAAATACTAATGTGACATGGTCCTTGTCCTAGAGGCTTATAGTTTAGTAAGACCTGCAAGCAAAATATTAAAATGTAACATAACAAATGATTTGAGAAAGTATTTTTAAAATTCATTGGAAGCATAGGAGAAGGTGGAAAGAAAAGTTTAGTTCCACTCACTTCCCAAAAGATATGGTTGATTGTTATGAGACAGTAATTCAGGTGAAGAAAATTAGACTTTCTAAAGCCAAATTCTTTGACATTGGTTTTCTTGTAGCTTGGAAAAGCTAATATTGTCTCCAATGTCTCATATTCCTTGAGTGGTATAAATGAGTTGTACAGGCATGGGTAATTTAAAAACAGAGGGATTTGATAGATTAATTGCTTTAAATTCATCCCTCATCTGTAATACCTTGTTTGGCACTTGAGAAAATAATATATTTAGAGGTTCCTCTTTTGACTTTTCTTTGGTTTTTTCCTACCCTCGGTTGGAAAAAAAATATTTTCTCTTCCTACTAATTGGGCTACTTGGAAATTTCCACTAACTTTAAGAACACTCATGTTCTATATAACCCAGAATTCAAAATTAGCCACAGTTAAGGGAATTCACAAGTTTATGCAGAGAACAAATCAAGATTAATGAAAAAAAGAGATATTGGGAGGACAATGAGGTTTTATCTTTACACTTGAAAACAGGGTTAAGCACTAGCCTTATAGCTAGGTTGACTTTGAAGTGTGAGAGGGAGGAGAGCTAGAAAATTGGAAGAGGTGAACTTTCTTAGTTTTTCTACCAGCTATGCTGTCTTTATTTATTATACAATATCTTCAAGAGAGAAGAATGATATCTCCCTGGTCATGTTAATTAGGAAATGCAGAGTGTTTTGCAAATGTTTAAAAATGTAATTTATTTCAACCTTGTTTTGAATACTGTTTACGCTATTAGCGCTGGGAGGCAGGAACCTTAAACTCTCTGCTTTACTCTATTCATTTTACACACAAGATACAGAGAAATGCCAGAAAGATCAAGTGACTTGCCCAGAGCTGAGTGACAAAGCAAAAAGGGGTGGGGGGGTTAAGAAATCCTGACTCCTTACTCCTAGTTTGGTAACTTTTCTGCCATTGGAAGGGATAGCTGAACATAGCTAAATCATGGGAAAATCGTTATTATCTATTTGAGATTGTAAAAATTTGATTTTTGCAGAGTTCTGTCTGGGCCAGATCTCCCCTAACCTTCTTAAGGGATAATGGTTTTTTAGAATGTAAACTGTGGCCTTGACTTCTGCAAAGTCATTAATTAGCTTACACATTCTTCTGGGAACTGCAGGGGCCTGAGGGAGGTTATCTCCTTTTTTCCTTCCCATGATTTCTCTGTCATTCCCAACCCTTGAGTGTACATGTGGTTTGTCTCTCCCACAGGGATGGATGCTCAGAAATAACCAAGAGATGTTATTTCTGTGGCTGCCATAGGCCAGGAATGCCAAATAGCCAAAATGGAGTTGTTTCCAGACTCTCATGGGATGTTATTTTTTAAAAGACCCTGGCGTTTCATTATAGGAACATGGGCTTTGGCTATTTACTGTCACTCGTGTAGTTCTTTGATATTCTATGACTGGAAAGGTCAAGGATGCCTAAGGATAGCATTATTTGGATAGTTTAAACAAAATGCATAAGTTTATTTTGGTCTACTAAGTAACTAGATGGCAGGAAGAAAATGTGAAGATTCATGAAAGTAGATATAGACCTATAAACTGAAAAGGACACTAGGCCTGTTTTAGGAGTCACTCAGGTGCTAGTACCTGCCATCTACTAGCTTTGTGACTTTGGATGGGTCATTATTGCTTCTTCCTGAGCCTCAGTGTATGCATTATGATGTGAGAGGGTTGTTTACTAGATGAATTTTAAGGACCCCTTCCAAGTGTTTGTCTTCTAATGCTCATAATTTAGGTAATCCTTCAGCATCAAAAGCCGTATATGATATGATATGGATAATTCTGAGATATTTATGGGGAGGAATTTGGGAAACAACATAAATGGTAGCAGTTAAAAGGTAGTAGGGCTCTAATAGATTCTAGGTTTTGGATCTATGATATTGTTGAATTACTTAGAGGAGGATCACATTAGGGTCTAGGATTCTGCTTCCCTTATAGCTTTGAAAGAAGTCAAGGTTGACTATTTCCATTGAAGTTATTCTTTCTTCCTGGATGTAAATATGTATCTATTATTCATAACTTGAGTCTTCTTTCTACAAACATGCAATGAGTTCCCTCATTGCGTCAGGCACCAAGGTGAAGAAAACAAATTTCCTGGGAACACTCATGGAAATTTACAGTATAGTTTGTGGAAAACAATATAAGAAAGTCAAGTAGAGTTAAGGATGTTGGAGGTGGAGCATAGAGTATCCTGGATTTCCTTTGCATTAAGAGAGGAATGAGATCAATAGTTCCCTTCTGCAGGGAACATATTTTGGATGCATAGTTGTCACAGATGTGGGGAATAAACACGAGTCATAGCAAACACCTCTCTATTTGCCAGGGGAGGGGACATGGCTCTTCCCTCTAGGGGAAAAGGCCCTGAACCCCCTCCAAAGACTTTTGCTGAGAACCCTACCCTTAGGGGTATGGATGCAAATCTCATCAGTCAATGTCTAAAGGCTTTGTCTACAGAAAACAGACAGAGATCATAGATAACAGTTGAAGGAACACAGGAGATCTGCCTCAGGTCAGGGTCTATGAATAATGTAAATCTCCTTCCCAGTATGAGCCAGTTATCATTACTTTTGAGGGAAGAACAAAGCGTGCTTCAAGGAACTTACTTCTAGGCCTGATTGTCCCTGGAAACAGCCCAACCCAGTTTAGGGCTGTACCTGCCTTTAGTTTTGTTTCAAGCCTGAGCCAGGCAGGCAAGGCAGAACCACCAGATAAAGAGACTTCTTTCAGAAAGAATGAGGACTCCAGCCATGTCCAAGCTGAGCAGAGAGGTGTGGGCCTTTTTGCTCTTTCTCCGAATCCCCCAGGTCCTTGTCTGCTGCCCATACCAGCTGATATCTGTCTTAAGTCATCTCTCCTCATGAGAGAACTTACCCGTTGTCTACAACTGACCATCACAGGGCCAAACAAGGAGATGTGAGGGAGGCAGGGGCTGTGCCTCGGCTCGGGGGACAGGTTTTGTCTCCTCGGTGGCCTGTTCTTGCAAGGCCTCCTTGATTATTTCCAGCCTTGGGGCCCTCTTGCCTGTGGGCGAGACTACAGTCCCTGAAACTAGGCAGGATGGTTCCCAACACATAATATTCTTTGAATATTTTTCTCTTTAAGGAAGGCAGTTACTAAAATATTAAATTCATATTTATTGAAGAGAACAAAGGCAGCATTCTCTTTATGGAGAATGAGTTTTTTGACTTATAATGTTGTATGTTCCCTAATCTTATCTTGTGTGCATAAGGGTGTACTCACCATTAAGATAGTTTGGTAACTGATATTAGGAAAGTGAACAACGTACCAATTGTGAATAATTACACTTAATATCAATGTCTTGGATTTGGTACAAGCATATCTCCATGTAGAATTTGTATCAGTGGTAGAGTGAAAGAGGCTATGTAATAATAGAAATATTAAAATTATGTTCATTTCTTTCTAGAATTATAACAAGTAAATGTCCCAGTTTTGTTATATACGTGCCATATTTTATTTCTTCATCACACGTATTGAAGAAACATAGAAAAATAATATTGTTCATATATTTTACCCCATAATACAACATTTTTCCTTCTTTTGAAATAGCAACTATGTTTCTTGCCTATCTTCTTAAGGAACTTAAGTTTGTCTTTGCCAGAGCATCCAGATGTTAAGTAAAGCTGTTTTCTTTTCCCTTCTCCCCACCTCCATCCAACTGCTTTCATGTTTCTTTCTTCTTTAGGTAACACTTTTCAGGGACTATGGCTGTACCGGTGATACCCTCCCTCATCGCCTTAGAGCCAGTCTACTTTCAGTTTCACTACCTCCATCTGCCGCCTATCATTTCCTCATTGGCTGCCTTAAATACCATACCCATCATTATATTTACTCTCTTACTCTTCTTGGGCTTTGTGGTATTTTGCCTCCTTGACCCTGGTTAAATCCAGCTCCCTACAATACACTCATCCCTCAGCCACTCTTAAGGTTAGTTCCCCCTAGCAAGTTGCTTTAGAAAATGCTGCTCTAGAGATACTTCAAAGCTCAGTTTACATGTAACCCTCCATAGTTTTCTCTCAACCTGATGGCTCACAAGGTCGCAGACATAAATCATTTCTTAATGTTCAGGAATACTGTCACATGCTTTGCAGAAGTTGGGAGTTTTTTGTCCTTTTCTTTTTTAATCTTAAAATATTCTCAAGGAAAGCCCCGTATAGTAACATTTGCCTTTTGATGGAAAAGCTGACATCTGAATGTGAGCCTGTAAGGTCAATCACGCTTGTCAATGGACTCTTCTTTATTGTGTCGTTCATCCTAATGAACAACAGCAGCAACATTCAATATAAATATATTAAGGTATACGATCCATTCAGCTTTTTCTCTATTTCTTTGTGAGTACTTCAAATGTCTCCTGGGTTATGTATCTTTTTTTTTTTTCATCACCAGCGTCTTGTGGAAGCTGCTACTCCTTTGCTTCTGCGGGTATGCTGGAAGCAAGAATACGTATACTAACCAACAATACACAGACACCCATCCTGAGTCCTCAGGAGGTTGTGTCCTGCAGCCAGTATGCTCAAGGTAAGTATCAATTTCAAGCATTTTTTACCTGTGTGTGGTTGGACAGTGTTGGCAAAGACAAAAGGATGGTGTAATAGAGCACAGTGTAGTCGGAAAACCCTGGTGCAAGTTTTGGCCCATCACTCACTGGTAAGTGGTTTCTTATGCAATTCACTGCACCATCCAGCAAAATGTCAGTAGTTACTATATAATGAATGAGCACTGCCTTTTAGGAGTCTCTCATATATATTACCCAACAATGCTCAAAGCCTTGAAAGAACAGATATAATCCCTAACTTATAGACAGGGAGCAGACATGAAGTTGTTCTATACTATTTTGAAGGCCACACAGCTTCTAACCCTTAGAGTTTCAGTTCCCACTAAGGTCTCCCTCCAAAACCTAATTCTTATTAAAACCAAACTGACACTCGTTTCTCTTTAGGGTAATTTTTAAATTTTGTGTGTCTGTTTTTAGAACAGGGCATATATAATGTATGTTGGAGCCTAGTTGCCATTGATTCAGGGAGAAGCATTGCCATTTTAATGGTTTATTTTGTCAACCCCAGATTTGGCCAATAAAGAGTGTCTCAGTTCACCAGTGGAACTGCTGGTGAGTGATTAGTTGTCAACAAGCCTTTCATTCTTTCTGAAATACTTCTCAAACACTGACATTGTGGGAACTGTCATGTATCCAGGCAGTCCTTCCACTTATGAAGAGCCATGGTGTGGTGTCTGGATATTTAATAATGACAATAATAGTGAACTTTTATTGCTTTTATATGAAGTGGCTAATTTAAATCTTACAAGAAAGGTAAAATTGTTATCTGTTTTTTACAGATAAGCAAACAGAGGTACAGAGAAATTCTTTACACAGTTTTCGATTTGAACCTTCGTAGTCAGGCTTCAGAGCTTCTCACTAAACCACTATGCTATAGCCACCTTCAGGTGCAGCATAAATGTCTGTTAAATAGATAAGGATGAGAGGATAGTGAGCTAGATGACTACTGCTTGAATGAGTGAAATGGCACTTAAGCGAGGAACAACTTCCGGGGTAACAAAAAATTAATGGAATAGAAAAGAAAGACTAGGAAATGGGACAATTTCTCCTTGTGCCCCATTCTAATAATGGGGTGATAACTCTGTGTTATTCATCCTCAGGCTGTGATGGCGGCTTCCCATACCTCATCGCAGGAAAGTATGCCCAAGATTTCGGGATGGTGGAGGAGGCGTGCTTCCCCTATGTAGGCACTGATTCTCCGTGCTTACTGAAGGAGGACTGCGTTCGTTACTACACATCCGAGTACCACTATGTGGGAGGTTTCTATGGCGGCTGCAATGAAGCCCTGATGAAGCTAGAGCTGGTCCATCACGGGCCCATGGCAGTTGCCTTTGAAGTCTATAATGACTTCCTCCACTACCGCGAGGGGATCTACCACCACACTGGTCTGAACGACCCTTTCAATCCCTTTGAGCTGACTAATCACGCTGTTCTGCTGGTGGGCTATGGCACTGATCCAGCCTCTGGGCTGGATTACTGGATTGTGAAAAACAGCTGGGGCACTACCTGGGGTGAAGACGGCTACTTCCGGATCCGCAGAGGAACGGATGAGTGTGCCATCGAAAGCATAGCAGTGGCAGCCACGCCAATCCCTAAACTGTAGGGTGCATCTCGCAGCATTTCACGCTGACCGCCACCAGTCGTGAAAGGGGGTGATTCACTCACAGACTGGAGACGTTCACCGCAGCAATTTCAGAAGATTACCAGTAAATTCCTATGAAGCCTTTTGCCTTCAAAATTAAAACTGCCCTTTATTTGAATACTGTCCCACTAACCACTGGCCCAATTTTTTCAAAGTACTCAATTAAATGAGGTTTTTACAGATGAGCTATGCAGTAAATGATTTTACTAATCCTTTCTAATTCAAACATAATTTATATTATTTTTAAAATCTATATGAAAATCACAAGAAAATATGGCAATGACTATTAATTTTTTTTAAAAAATTTGTTAATGATCAAGTGATATATATTAGGGAATTTATTTGTGTGCATAAGGGAACTTCTACCATTGGCTCCTTCAGTTACATTCAGATTCACTGTGTCACTTATATAAGTACTTTAAGAAGAAAAGCATTTGAAGGTATTTCAATTTTAAAAAAAACAACCATGAAACTTTATTATAGAGGATATGTTCAAATAATGACTAGTGAATGCTAAAATCGTCCCCTGGGTATTTGGTAAGCCAAAAGTCATAGAGAAAAGAAACAGGAATTTTGATAAAAATCTTGATATTGGTTAAATTTTTTTTATGATCTGTCTTGAATTTGGAAGTATTGGTTAGCCTTCACTGAGTAAGCAAAAGTCACTTAAGTAGCAGAATAGTAGGAGTTTAGATTTGGACATATCTTTGCGTCTCCAAGATATATTTCAGTGGTATGGAAGCTCTATGCTGAGTAAACAGATGGCATTTATTAGAAATGTAGAGTAGGCAAAATTAGATAGTCAAGCTCTAAAACATCAACAAGAACCTCAAGTCTTTTGGAAGAGACCATAGGTGGAAATCATGGCACCTAACCTCTGCACATCAAGAGAGACTAAGGCCTAGAAAAAGGACAAGTAACTCATCTAAGTTCACACTGGTGGTAAGTAACGAAGTCATGAATAGCACCTTGATCGTCTTAAGTTCTTTTCTCCTTAAGCAACTGAGACACAATCTCAGCACTTCCCAACAGAGTATCCAAACTCCTTAGGGGTACTAGGTGGAGGCTTGAAAGTTTCACCTTGGCATGTTAATTCTCAGAGTTTTATCTTAAATTTGTCTCCTTTCTGCATTGCGATTCACTACAATGACACTTTTGTTCTTGAACTGAAGTGGCATTCCAGGAATTTGCCTCCTGTTTAAGGTGTAGCTTCCTGACCCTCTTGGCACACCGACATACCTTTGACCTTTTCTCTACCTTTTGAAAGGCCTCAAAGCAGGTTTATTTTCTCTGTTACTGTTACTGACTGAATGTAATTTTAGTCCTACTTTTTGCCTAGCCTTGTTGCTCTGTGAAAGTGTAAAAAGAATTTGAAATCAAAGCATGAATTTATTTTACACTAAAATCTATAAAGATACTACCTGTCTGCTTAACAGATAGGATTTTATTAGCCTGTGTGCACGTGAACTTATACTCTGATTTTCTATGGGAAAGGACACATGGGGGGAAAATCATGAAGACGCAGGGTTTTCCACAATTTCCTGGGGGCCCTGGCTGAGCTCAGCAGGAAAATCAGTCATTGCTGGTATCATGTATTAAATACTTTAGAAAATATTGAAAAACTATATGTAAGTGTGAATCTAACTGACAGTGGGAAGCAGCCCTCACAGCGAGATGCGTTGAGGACAAGCAGTGGCTTGAAGAGGCTCTGAGTCTTCAGAGGTTGTGAGAGGGATTGCCCGAAATGAGAGCTCCAGTTCTTCAGCACCTCCACCTGCACTGGTCTGCTGTGGGAGTCTGCTTTTCCTACTTCTGCATGGCAGAAAGGTCACATTTCCTCTACAGAGGAGGAATTAAAGACCGTGACTAACTGAACATGATTCCTCAAGCCATGTGATTAAACTGTTAAGCTGTACAAAAGGCAGCAAGTTTCTTTGTAAAACTTGTTTATGTTGGTGTTACTGGGCCATATAATCAATGTCTGTAGACAAATTGAACTCTGGAAAAACTGGGGCAGCAACTCTGGCTAACCTCTCCAGAAGAACCACAGTGAAAATGTGCATGGATGACACCACTAGCCACACAGGAAAACCAAGGTTAATGAGACCACAAGCACAGTCCTGATACGTGTCTGGGCCTTAGTGCCTGGGAAAGGTTTCTGGCTCTGCCGCTTGCTACCGTGAAACCTTGGGCAGTTTCCTTAAACTACTTGGGCTCACTTTCCTCATTTGTAAATGGAGATAATGGAATAGACATCCCCCACTGAAGTCTGCCCCCACTAAATCTTTGCTAATGCAACGAAGAAACCAAATGGATTGGCACTTTTGGGTGACATCATTTGCTTTCATTAAGGGCAGGCCCTTCACCCTCCCAAGTGAATGAACGAAACTAAATCAGGTAATGAAGTTTCCCTGCCCTTCCAGACTTGCTCAAGGAACTCTGACATCTCACCACTTAACTCAGGAAATGAATAGGTTTGGATTGGAAGGGATACATACACTTACTTTACATAGTTCTCTAGGATTAAATGCCTTCAGATATGCAAAGTAGGGAGAACAGCACTTGGAACATAAGTCTGCTTTTTCTGAACTCAATTCGTAAAGTAATCTTTTGCTGTGGGGAGCAGCTAAGACATATTCTATTAATAAACAAGTTCTACCCTACTATGAGGAGGGGGTAAGGGGATTTCTTTTTCAAAAGGAGAAAACTGCCGTGGCTGGGTGGCTTAGCTGGCTGGACCATCATCCCATGTACCCAAAGATTTCAGGTTCAATTCCCTTTTGGGGCTTGGACAGAAGGTAATTGATGTTTCTGATGGTTCTCTCATACTGATACATTCTCTCCCACCCCCCCCCCCCTGCCCTTCCTATCTCTAAAGTCAATAAACATCTCCTTAGTCAAGGATTAAAATAATAAATAATAGTAATATAATAATAAAACCAACCCACAGAGAAAAATCTTCAGAAACTGAATTACAGAGATGGTTTGATTTTCTGGTTATAGAGGTTAGACATCCCTCACACACCACAGTTACTGCTGCCTGAGTGGAGATAATGAAGGAGTGTCGTGTAATCCAGTTTAAAAGGCTACAGCAGAGCTGAAAAGTCACTAGCTTTGAAGCAAAAAAGGCTAAGGCTAATCTAAGGTTGTAACAATTGGATTTTCCCATTTGGAATTTTCCTATTAGGATAAGGTGAGCATAACAGATTGAAACAATCGTGTGGGAAGGTCACCTTCGCCCACCTCTGTCACTAAAATAAAAATGGGTTTTGCAGGTGAGATAACGTGGCGGGCTTCCAGCTAATAAAGATATATCTAGACCTCGGTGTGTCCAGAACTTTCTATTGTACCCACTGCCTCTTAATTAAGAAAAATGGAGAAGGCTAAACGTGAGACAAATGACTTCACCTTGCTCTTAGAAATGTTAAAATCATTTCTAAGATCCTTTCCAGCTCTCATATGGTTTTCTGGTCTCTTAGGGAAAAATGCTCTAAGCTTCAATCCATGTGGTTTGGAATGTTTAACAGTTTTCTTCTAAATATAGTGATGATAATATTTATATCTCTTAATTGTAGTAAAGATTTGTTTTTGGTTTAAAATTAAATAGAAACTTCCTGACCAAAATAGGATAGCTCTAGATATATTAAATTCTGCTCTGATGAGAAATGCATGCATTTGAAATCATGTATTGATGGTGGGTCAGCCATTGAAGCTTAGTTTCATTAGCTGCAAAATATTGACCTCATTGAGCTGTAGTCCTGACAGAAACTGTAAATTTGCCTGAAATTGCCTGGGCTGTAAAATAATTGAAACCTCAGCAGACCTGGCTATGCCACACAATGTTCTCAGAGTAATAACACACAAAAATTGCAGGAGATGGACTAGACAGAAAATGCAACACAAGGCTTTGTTGATCTCTTCCTTTTTCCCTTCAGAAGTCCATTTATTGAGATCCATTTTCTTTAAGTGCTTTTTAAAAGTTAGCCAAAGTGAAAAAATTTAACCTTTCCGTTTCTGATCTTGAGACTGTGATGCTGATGTAATACTTCAATTTTGAACTTTCTGTTTTAAAAGCACAATTTGTTTTTTGAAATTCAATTCTATAGGCAGTTAAATGGGGAAAGAGTGATAAACTCCAAACTCTTGAGAGCTGAGGAAAGAAAAAGCTGACTTGTTCCTTCCTCTAATGCAAAAATCTAAAGAGAGTGAAATCCTAGCAATCAATTGAAAAGAAATAAGATGGCGAAATAGCCTTCCCCTGAGGAAATGCAGGAAATGCCAGGATGGTCAGGTTGTGCATTAAAGTAATCATTGAGATCATTTTTTTTTCTGTACTGTATTTTCTTAAACTTAAAAGTATTGAATACTTTCATTGTAGTGTAAGATGAGTGATAGAAGATGAATGCTTATAGTATCAGATTTTTGTACCCACATTCTCTTTTTTGTGGATTTTCTTAAGAGCTAAGAGAAAAGCCTGTTTTTCCTTCAGATGCTGTCTTCCTATGCCGTCATAAGAAATGCACTGTATTCTCAGAACAGAGTAGACAATCCAAGAAAGCAGGCTGAGGCTCAGTTGCATAACTGGATGAGTCTATGAGAGAAAGTAAACAAAATAGCACTGTGTTGTCATGTAACGGACTTTGGAATCAGTCCTGTTTCTGAGTCTGTTCCTCCAATGCTTGTTATTTGGACCTGAGTCCAGTTACTGAACAGGAATCTCTAGTCTCAGTGCCTTTGTGTTTTAAAAGGTGGTGCTCATACTATCAAGGGTTGTGACAGGGTTTAAAAGAAGAAATGAGTATTTATGTGTTACCCCTCTTATTTTTTACAAAAAGTTTAAAGCAGTTTACAAAGGTAAAGATGCAGTACAAAATAAGTTAAAATAAGTAAACTGAAGTAAAGGAAGATACAGGTGGAAAAATTAGGCTTTGATGTGGACAAAGTCTGTACAGAGACAGTGCAGCCCCTTAGCTGTTATGTGGCGGAATTATGCTTAAAACAGTGCTTCACAACCAGGGGTGATTTTGTCCCTCGGGACATTTGACAATGTGTGTAGACATTTGGGTTGTCACACGAGGGGAGAAGGCACGGTCCGTAATGAAGGATTACCTGTCAGTGGTGCTGAGGATCAGAAAGCCTGCCAGACAACATGCTAACTCCCTTACACTTGTACTTTTTTTTTTTTTCCTGGCACTAAGTGAATGTTACAGGCTGCACGAGGAAGAGAATTCTGAGGAGTAAAGTTATCCCAGGAGCTTCCAGAGAGTATACAGAGCTTGAGCTGAGCTGTGAAGAATCAAGAGGAGACATAAAAGACATGGAGGCCGAGGGAGGGGGTGAAGACTGAAGTTCTGAGAGAAGATAAGGGCAAGTCCCCTTATGGCATGTCACTAATATGCTTTTCAAAAAATATAAAACTTATTAAATATGTAGCCCTAATTAATCTTCAGACTTGGGCTAATTATTGGACCAGACATTGGATGAATCATTATTTTAACAAAGGAGGAGAGAAGCAAATGGGGAGGTAGAATGATAATTGGAGGTCCACATGTGTGAACAAATTCTGTCATACAAGATGAACACATCATTTCAACTTGCCAAACATTTGATCAAGATAAGGATAAGAAGAAATGAGGTCAACTGCAATATTTTTGCTTAAAAGGAGCATTTGTTTAAAGCATTGTTCCTTTGCTCTTTCAAGTCATAGACTCTTTTGAGATTGATAAAACCTATAGATTCTTTCCCAGAAAAATGCACATGCTCATCCTAAATTTTGCACGAAATTCCAGCATTTCTTGAAGAGTCACAAGCCCCAGCACAGTGAAGTATACTGTTGTGTGTATGGCACCTTTTCTCTCGGCCAAGTAGTTAGTCCAAAGTGCAGGTGTTTTCACTTTGTTCTTTGAGCTACCGGCTGGGGGGAACCATTGAAAAGCCTTGGCAGGTGGGATTCAGGGAGCCTGTTCCTGGTAGGTGACTCAGCTTCCAGTTGTAATCCCACTCTTGGTCAAACCCTGTTTGGAAACAGCTCCCATGTGTTCCCTGGGTCTTAGTGGCTGTCGGTTCCCAGCTCCTCACCTTGGTTTCTCTGGGGTTGGGACCTAGTCTCATGCCTGCCATCACCATCACTAGAGCAGTACTCTGCCTAGTAAAACCTGGTAACTTCAGTCCTTTCACCAATGGCAGGCTCTTCGCTGCCCACGGCCCGCCTTCTGGAACAGTTCCTCCTGTGCACTCCCTGGGCCGCCCAGCACTGTGCTCCTGCCATCCACCAGAGCAAGGCCTTCACTTCTCCCTCCCCTAGAGCTCGCAGCTGCCTCCTCACCTTGACTGCCCACTGCAGCAGTTTCACTCCGCAGGTACCTCTAACCGCCAAACTATGCTTTATTTTTGTACCGAGTTAGCTCTGTTTTTATTGGTAATAACAATAGCTGCAGTTTATCAAGGTCTTACTTTGTGCAAGGTGGTGTGGTGAGCCCTTAACATACACTGCTTCCTTCAGTTCCTGGTAAAGATCTGGTCTTTCAGATTAGGACTCGAAGCATTTAAGTCACTTGCCTCAAATCACAGAACTCATCATTTACTTGGGATTTGAATCCAGCGGCGGGGGTGGGGGGAGGTCTCTGCTCTAGAACCACAGCTCTTAACTAGTCTGTACTCCCTCCCTCAAGATGTCCTTCCTTTGTCTTCCCCAGTGGTGTGTTGATTTTTCGGGGCCTGGTGCGTTTTTGTTCTTCCTGTCTTTTTCTAACTAGCATGGTTTGCACAACGGCTGAGAGATAAAAAGGTGCCTTCGTCCATTAAATCAGGATGAGTGAAAGAAGGGTGGTCTCTGAGAGAGAGGCAAGTCAGGAGGGGCGTGGTGAGAGAGGGATGCTGATATGTGTTTTAAACATGTTGAATTTCAGCTGACCACTGCAGACGGGAATAGCTTCTCCTTTAAACAAGTGTCTCGCCAGAAAAGTGATAAGGTTCTTAGGAAGGATTTGGCAAACCTAATGTTTAGCAGATTGCAACAATGGCTTTAAACTCAAATGGAATATTTTTTCTGGCAAGGCACTGGGCCCTCCAAGGGAGAGTGGATTATTTCACTTGGTGTGCAATGGCAAGGAAGGTATAAAGGATAGTAACTTTCCTTCCAATATTAAAAAAATATAAATATCCCTGGCCAGTTGGGCTCAGTTGTTTGGAGCATCGTCATCCCATAGACCGAAGGATCACAGGTTTGATTCTTAGTCAGGGCACATACCCAGGTTGCGGGTTTGATCCCTGGTCAGGATCTGTACGAGAGGGCAACCAACTGATGTTTCTTTCCCACATTGCTGTCTCTCTCTCTCTCTCTCTCTCTCTCTCTCCTTTCTGTGCCTCTCTCGCCCTTCCTCTTTCTCTCTCTCTCCCTTCTCTCTCTAATAGCAATACAAAACTGGAGATATATACATATATATGTAGAAAGATGGTTGAGGCCCTTTCTGCTATATTTCATGCATCTCAGCACGCTGGTAGAGAGCCATCAACCCAGTATAGGTTCACAGAACTTTAAGAGAAAGTTTAAAGTCCATCTGGACACTCAGTGATTTCTTTGTGTATATTTGAACTGGCCACCATTAGGCTTTTGAAGTTTGATATAACAAAAGAATAAAACAGAAAGAGGTCTGTAGTTTTTGCATGAATTGTCATGTAATCCAGCTCAGAGCCCTTTACC